GCCTCAAAGATAAAGCTGGCCCAGAATAAAAAAGAAAAAAAGGAGCGGTTGGGAGCTTCAGTCACCCACCAGCCTGAAAACAGCCCTCAGCACCTCACCCAGATGGCCAGGCACCCCAGTGGGGACCCCCACCCTGAAGGGTGTGTGACCAGCTGCAAACAGTCATCATCCCCTCTCCCAGGCTGGCCAGGCACCCCAGTGGGGACCCCCACCCTGATCCAGGACACCCTTCAGGGCAAACCAGCCAGCACCCACCTGTTCACCAAGCCTCTATCCTATATAGTAAAAGGGTAATATGCCTCCCAGCACCGGGATCAGCGGAGCCGAGAGGCCTCCCGGCACCGGGATCAGCGTGAGAGGGGGCAGCACCCAAACCCCCTGATTGCCCTGCAGCTCTGTGTGTGACAGGGGGCGGGGCCACAACCTCCCTATCAGCCCTACTCTGTGAGTGACAGGGAGGAGCTCCTCAACCACCTGATTGGCCCTGCTCTGTGCATGACAGGGGGCAGCGCCCCAACCCCCTGATGGACCCTGCTCTGTGCATGACAGGGGGCAGTGCCCCAACCCCCTGATTGGCCCTGCTCTGTGCGTGACAGGGGGGAGCTCCCCAACCCCCTGATGGACCCTGCTCTGTGCATGACAGGGGGCAGCGCCCCAACCCCCTGATTGGCCCTGCTCTGTGCGTGACAGGGGGTGGCGCCGCAACCTCCCCATCGACCCTGCCTTGAGTGTGACAGGGGCGGTGCCCCAACCCTCCAATCAGCCCTACCCTGAGCGTGACTGAGGGTGGCATTGCAACCTCCCAATCCGCCCTGCTCTGTGCATGACAGGGGGCAGCACCCCACCTCCCCAATCGGCCCTGCTCTGAGCCCAACCAGGGGCTGCACCTAGGGATTGGGCCTGCCCTCTGCCACCCGGGAGCAGGCCTAAGCCAGCAGGTCATTATCTCCTGAGGGGTCCCAGACTGCGAGAGGGCACAGGCCAGGCTGAGGGACCTCCCCTCCCCCCCGAGTGCACAAATTTTTGTGCACCGGGCCTCTAGTAATTTATAAGCATATAAGCATAACCACTACAAAATGCTCTTTACAGGTCAATTATGATGGTACACATCATAATTGACACTCACAGGGTTGCTTCTAATCATTGCCCATGTCAGACACTTAGTTTTACCCTGGATAAATGCTGTAGCGGAAAACTAGACAAGAGAAAAGGAGAGTCTACATGTCTCCAACTTCAACCAACTCCCAACCAACCTGTTACAGTTGTCAGTGGTACTTGGCGGGGGGCTTTAACTAGACTGGGGAAAATCTCCTATCAAAGGTTAATTGTAACACTGTGCACCCCCTAGGTTTGGAAGAAATTACACCTAGCACCATTTCCTTTCTGGGAGAAATGCCCAAATATCTAAACACCCAATCTTCAAAATGGAGGCAGTGAAGCAAGAGGAGAGAGCGTAGGTGGGGCTGCTATGGCTCACTGAGAAGTCAGAGGAAAGTGGGCCTTGGGTACAAGTTCAGGGCATTCACCTGGGACCAGCTGCTGCTGCCCATTGCTCTCCTGGTTGCAAGTCTCATGGGGACCCTTAGAGTTTAGGAGATGAATGCCTGAGAGGGAGAAAAGGGTAGGGGGTTGCTCCTGGGAGGGAGAGCATGCCTAGAACACTTTATATGTGGAATATTTCCCAATCCATTGTGAGAGAAAAATAGATCAGTAATAGATTCAAAAAATTGTCTTATATTCTGACACCATAAGCAAATGACTATATTTTCAAATGACTGTTCCATGTTTCTCATAATGCTGACTCCTTGTAAGTCCCAATTATTTTTTTAACACTTTGTGGGGTGCATTTTTGATATATTTTTATTGATTTCAGAGAGGAAGGAAGAGGGGGAGAGAGCTAGAAACATCAATGATGAGAGAGAATCATTGATAGGCTGCCTCCTGCATGCTCCAACTAGAGATTGAGTCTGCAACCCAAGCATGTGACCTTGACCGGAACCCGGGACCCTTCAGTCCACAGGCTGATGCTCTATCCACTGAGCCAAACCGGCCAGGGCTGTAAATCCCAATTCTTTTTCTTTTTTTTTTTTTAGAATTTTGAGATTCTTTTTTTTAATATATTTTATTGATTTTTTACAGAGAGGAAGGGAGAGAGATAGAGAGTTAGAAACATCGATGAGAGAGAAACATCGATCAGCTGCCTCCTGCACATCTCCTACTGGGGATATGCCCACAAGCCAGGTACATGCCCTTGACCGGAATCGAACCTGGGACCTTTCAGTCTGCAGGCCGACTCTCTATCCACTGAGCCAAACCGGTTTTGGCAAATCCCAATTCTTAATATTCCTAGTTGGTGCCTTGATATCAGGGAACCTCTATTGTGGACCAATTTTTATATTTATTATTTATTTGTTAATCCTCACCTGAGGATATTTTTCCATTGATTTTTAGGGAATAGAAGGGCAGTAGGGAAGATGGGCAGATAGAGAGACATCAATGTGAGCTAGACACATTGATCGGTTGCCTCCTGCAGAGATGGCAACTCCAGTCCTCGGGATATTCCTCAACACATGCTTCCTCCCAGTGTCAGCCCAATGCGTTCTAAAACCTTACTTTCCATATCCCCTTTTCCCCATTTCCTGCTACTTCTGTGGTGAATCAAAGCCCACACCTCACTTTCTGGTCACACACCTCTGCTTCCTTTGGATTAGCGCGCTTCTCCCTGTCTTACCTAGCAATATTCCAAGGTACTTGTCTAGCCACGCGACATGCTGACTGATGCCACTCCTCCCGTCTCCTGCTCTGGAACTTCTTACATTTCTGGGCAGTGCCTGCTCTTCTTTTGCCAGCTGAAGATCCCATCAGCAGATTTTTGAACTGGAGCTACAGCTAATGTTTTCCAAAACCCGTGTCCCATGTTTACTACAGGCCAGTTTTGTCTTTGGCCATGGGCTCCTCTGTAATCTCTTGTCTTCCCTGAAACTGGTGAATTTTCCAGGCCTGGACTGAAAAGTGTCACTTGGAGAGGAACATAGTACATAGAACATAGTACATAGTACATAGACAGTGGATCTGCTGTCTCTGTCACTTAACAGCTCTAAAACTTTGGACTTTTCCATGCCATCTCTTCGTGACTTGAGTTGGTTTCCTCGTCTGTAAATCGGAGGTAATAGTACCTACATTATAGAGCTGTGAAAAGGATTGAGGGAGTGTGTAGAAGTAAAGCGCCCAGAAGAGTTCCTGGCAGATAGTAGTTGCTCAATAAATCTGGCTGCTATTAGTTATCATGTAACTTCAGTAACAATGAACAAAGATTTTTCTTCCCCATTTTCCTGTTAGTGGGGATTGAATCTGATCTCAAAATTTGCACCTCTAGTCCTGACCAGTTTGGCTCAGTGGATAGAGTGTCGGCCTGCGGACTGAAGGGTCCCGGGTTCGATTCTGGTCAAGGGCATGTACCTTGGTTGCGGGAACATCCAGGTGGGGAGTGTGCAGGAGGCAGCTGATCCATGTTTCTCTCTCATTGATGTTTCTAACTCTCTATCCCTCTCCCTTCCTCTGTAAAAAATCAATAAAATATATTTTTTTAAAAATTGCACCTCTAGTCTTTCAAGGATGTATAATGAGGTTTATATATTTTATTTTGAAAAATTTTTTGTTTATTGATTTTGAGGGAGAGAGTGAGAGAGGAAGAGAGAGAGTGAGAGTGAAAGAGAGAGAGAGAGAGAGAGAGAGAGAGAGAGAGAGAAAGAGAGATTGTTTCACTTATTTATGCATTCATTGGTTGATTTGTGTACGTGCCCTGACCAGGGGTAAAACCTGAAATCTTGGCATATCGGGATGATACTAACCAACGGAGCCACCAGGCCAGGGCAAGGTTTGTATATTTTAAACCTTCTCCTTAAGGTTGTTTTGTTTTATAGTACCATGTGTAGAGCTAATGCAACTTGCTATATCCAATAGTAATAAAAGCAATAGCTAACATTTATTTTTATTGAGATTAATTGCCATTACACCGTATCAGTTTAAAGTAAACAACATATTGATTGGACACATTTATACATTGTAGTGTGATTACCATCATAGTGTTAGCTAACACCTCTGTCAAGTCACATAATTATCACTTCTTTTTTTTTGTGGTAAGAACAATTAAGATCTAGTCTCTTAGAAACCTTGATGTTTATAATACAGAATTATTGATGATATACACTATGCTGTCCTCTAGATCTCCAGAACTTTTTTATCTACTAGATGCAGGTTTATAACCTTAAACAACATTTCCCCAACTCCCTGGTCCCCAGCTGCTGTCCCCACTTTTCTTCTCTCCACCTCAGTTTTTTTAGATTCCACATATAAGTGACATTACACCATTACACAGTATTTGTCTTTCTTGTATAACTTATCTTACTTAGCATGATCCCCTCAAAATTCATCCATGTTGTCAGAAATGGCAGGATTTCCTTCTTTCTCATGGCTGAATAACATTTCATTGTGTATATATCTCACATCTTTATCCATTCATCCTTTGATAGACACTTAGGTTGTTTCTATCTTGGCTGTTGTGAATAATGCTGCAATAGACATGGGTGTGCAGATATCTCTTTGAGAAGTTATTGGATCAGTATTTGCTGCTTCACATATCCACCCAAAATTTAAAGATAGAAAACAATAACCATTTATATAGCTAAACATTCTATAAGTTGGATTGGTTGTCTGCCCTGGGACAGCCTGAGTGATCTCCGCTGGGTTTACTCAAGCAAGGCATCCAAACTGGAAAGGAGGAAGTAAAACTGTCAGTATTTGCAGATGATATAATATTGTATATAGAAAATCCTACAGACTCTACCAAAAAACCCATGAATTTGGCAAAGTAGTGGTATACAGAATTAATATTCATAAATTTGTGGCATTTTTATACACCAATAATGAACTATAAGAAAGAGAAATTAAGAAAACAATCCCATTTACTATTGCAACAACAAGAAAAATAAGGTACCTAGAAATAAATTTAACCAAGGAGGTAAAAGACCTGTAATCAGAAAAGTATAAGTTCCTGAAGGAAGAAATTGAGGGAGATACAAACAAGTGGAAGCATATACTGTGCTTATGATAGGAAAAATTAAGACCATCATTAAAATGAGGGAATAAAAATATACAGCTGTTTCCTTGCCCTAGAAGCCAGACAGAGGACAAGATTGTACAAAACAGCTGACTCAGCTGCCTTTGGATCGATCCCAAACACGATATTTCTTTCCAGGCCTGAAAATCGACGGACACTGTCCAATACAATGTGATTGCCCATGATAGCTGATGCATTTTCTACTACGAACTGATCAGATTCCTCATTGAGCTGAGCTCTTATCTTCCTCATTGCTTCTTGAAATTTATGTTTAAATGCATCTACATCACTTGCTGTGCTGAAAATCACAGCAATATCTTTGCAGGAATAACCATTCCTCAAGAGAAACTGGCATTTCTCTGTTATACAAACCACCATCATTTCCAAGTTCGAGTACGTGATTCTCTTAAAGTAGCCTGTAACACTCTGAGACCATTTAGCTTTACTGAATATATTCAGGGACTTGGAGGGGATGTTAGGTGGTGGATTTTTTCTGACCCGTCGCATAATTTCTTGTAGGTACTTGGCTATTGGTTCTGCATTGCGGACCACTCTGACGAGCTCTTCTCTTGGATACTGATATCCAAGGCCGGGGAGGCCACTGCAGTACACGTGACTGGTCTGAAAGTAGTCCAGAAAGATCCAGAGAATTCCAGGGCCATCCTTTCCTCTCTGAGTGATGGTTTTTGCCTTCTTATACCAGCCCCCATCCTCATTGCGGAAATTCTGAGCTTCATCGATGACGATGTGTTGAATGTTTTCAAAGTTTGAGTTTTTGTTCATGAAGGTTTTTCGGGTCACTGCCTGGCAGATATCTTTTTTACTGTAACAATTAAAAAGACACAATCAGGTTTTCTCCAAGTATATAATGGAGGAAAATTACTCTATCATACTTCTACAAACAGGACTGTTGCTACAGATCAATTTACCACCCTACTGTCAAGGAACAAAGTGACACCCTCGCCAGTTCAGCTCAGTGGATAGAGTGTAGTCCTGAGGACCTAAGGGTCCCAGGTTCAATTCCGGTCAAGGCCACATACCTTGGTTGCAGGCTCTTCTCCAGCCTGGACCCTCCCCCAACCAATCAATGTGTCATCAATATTTCTCTCTGTCTTTCCCTCTCTCTTCCACTCTCTCTAAAAATCAATGGAAAAATATTCTCGGATGAGGATTTTTTTTAAAAAAAAGGAACAAAGTGATTTGAGTAGAGGAAGACATGGAATGATTTCACACGGAACCTCATTTGGTGTCAGGGAGATCCAACTGCTTACCCAATAAAGTCCCTCAGAGGCTGGTTCTCACAAACATAGAGAATTTCATTTTTCTCACAACCCATCGTATTCTTGATCTTCTCCATGATCTTCATGGCCACGATTGTCTTCCCTGAGCCAGGTAAACCATGGATAAACAATTCTCTGGTCTTGCGGAGGTTTTTTGAGACGATCTCATACTGTTGGACCGTGAGCAGATTTAAAATCTCACAGCCAAGCTGGTCACTCAGGAAAGACCTGAAGCTGAGCAAGACAATCACAAGGGACTGCAGCAAGGCTTCCATTTGCTTGGTGTCTGCGAGGTAGTAGGACTCAGGATACTTAATCAGAGAGTCTGAACCTTCAAAGGACTCTGCATTGCTCTCAGGACTCAGATGGAGGACCTTGGTCATGACACACAGCTTCCCGGTGTAGCCCCCCATGTTCACCAGCTTCTGCTTCAAGGTAAAGGCGGTACGGGTGCAGTACAACTGCCCATCTGCATCCTGCTCCCCGAGAATGGTATAGAGAATGGGGGGGCTGTTCTGTGTTACCAGCAGAGCATCGCAAATGACTCCCTGTTTCTCTTGCAAGTTCAGGTTCACAGCCCAGCTTCTAGAAAAGATCAAAATTCCCCGGGAGAAAGAATGCATTTGCTTCTTTAGTAATTCCTCCAGGCCTTCATGCTCTGAGTACAGCTCCTCCAAGAGAGATTTGGGAGTAAATTGCAAGTCTTCTGATGATACTAGATATAAAAAGAGTTATAAATGTGAGGTCAATATCATTTATTTATATGATTAATTACAATTAATAAAAAGTAATTATACTCAATCATAAATGATCTTATGATAAATATTTTTGTATATGTTCTTTTATAAATATTATTATCATAATAAAAGGCCAGAGGCGTCACGACTGGAACAACCAAACGACCAGTCACCATGAGGTGCATGGAGCACCTCTTAGTTCCCCCCACCTCCAGCCCATGAGCAACGGCTCTCAAGGTGTGCGGAGCAGGGCACCTCTCCACAGCACAGGGGATGGGGCAGGGCGCCTCTTTAAGGCGCAGTGGGGTGGGGCAGACACAAGTTTGCACACTGGGCCTCTAGTCTACCTAATAAAAGACTAACATGCTAATTGTCCGTGCCTTCATGACACCCACCAGCCAATCAGGAGTGAGTGTGCAAATTAACCCAACAAAGATGGTGGGTTAATTTGCACATGCAGGCTCCCAGTGGCCAGAGACGGGGCAGGACTCTTGCATCATCGCCATGGCCACCCCAGCCACTCCGGGCCTCTGGGCAGCGTGGGAAGGCAGAAAAGGCTGCTCTGGCCAGAGCAAAGGTGGTGTCAGCAGCCAGGGGAATGAAGGCCCATTCTTGCACAAATCTTTATTTGTGCATCAGGCCACTAGTTTTATAATAAAGGAAAAGAAGTATTGGAAACCTGGCACACGTCATCTAAATCTATGTGCTTATTATGTTTATAACCTTGGGAAATTCCTTAGTTTCTCTAAGACCAGCGGTTCTCAACCTGTGGGTTGTGACCCCTTTGGGGGTCTAACAACCCTTTCACAGGGGTCACCTAAGACCATTGGAAAACACATATATAATTACATATTGTTTTTGTGATTAATCACTATGCTTTAATTATGTTCAATTTGTCACAATGAATTTGGGGGTCACCACAACATGAGGAACTGTATTAAAGGGTCATGGCATTAGGAAGGTTGAGAACCACTATCTAAGACTGTTCCCTCATCTGTAAAACAAACAAAACAAAAAACACCTGCATTAACAAATAGCACATTTCTTATGGTAAGGAATAAATAAAATATCTGGTTCATGGTAGCTGCTTAGGAAATGTTAGTTCTGTTGAATCTCAATTTTTCCCTGAACAGTTCCCATTGATGGAGGTAGGAGGAGCCCTCCCTGAAAGAAGGTGCTCATTAAAGATTTGCGGAGAAGATGGAGCCATGTTAAACCGTTTAGTCACAGAGAATTCACTGTGGTCCTGGCCTGAGAGACTCTGAAGTTAGGCCCTGAGCTAATTCTCCTGAAGCTAACTCTGGTATCACTCACAGACCAGGGTGAGACTGCATCCATCACAAAGTCTCCCTTTGTCATGAGGGAGCAAAGAACGATGATGTGACATGAGAATAATGTAGGGTTTTAAACTTCTTTCAATGATCATTTGTTCCAAAGATGGGCAGAGGGAGGAGGGAGTGAAGAGACTGTTTTATCCTGTTGTGCTGGTGTCAGATTTGTAGTAGTAATTTTAAGTTAAATTAGCCAAAGTTCATTGGTAATTGTTTATTGTCCATTGTTGCTGATGCTTTCTCACTTGTACCAGGTGTTCACAAGACTTGATTATGTCTGCAACCTGGATGATAGCCAGTGGGAGACGGCATCCATTATGAAACATCCAGATTTAGGAGATGTTAAAGGATGGGGGAAACACACTACTTAGAATGGAGGAAATAGAATAATATAAGGATATGTTTAAAATAGAACTTTAGAAACAAAAAGAAGTATAAGATAAGAAAACACATTATTTGTTGCTTGTACTAGGGAGATTACAGACATCTCTGGGCCTCTCAATTGTGCAAGGGAGATATACTCATTTATTCTCCTTTTTATGAGAAAACTGGAACTCAGACAAGTCAAGTGAGTTGCCCATGGCCACACCCATAGGAAATGGCAGAGCCAGCATCCAAACCCAAGCCTCAGACACTATTGTGGTTTCCACTCTACTGCACTGCCCTGCAAGTCACACAGACCATCCCTCCTGATAAATGGAGAAAAGCACTAAAGAATTTCATAGCAAATGTGTTTTATCTCATCATTGAATAGTCTTACTTTAACAATACAATAGAACATGCTTCCTAAGTAAATTATGTCAAGGCAAGAAATGTCCATTTCGCCCTGACTGGTTTGGCTCAGTGGATAGAGCATCAGCCTGTGGACTCAAGGGTCCCAGGTTCGATTCTGGTCAAGGGCATGTACCCTGGTTGCAGGCACATACCCAGTGGGGAGTGTGCAGGGGGCAGCTGATCAGTGTTTCTCTCTCATCGATGTTTCTGGCTCTCTATCCTTCTCCCTTCCTCTCTGTAAAAAAATCAATAAAATATATTAAAAAAAAAAAAAAAAGAAGTGTCCCTTTCACCCTAGCGAGTTTGGCTCAGTGGTTGGAATATTGGCCTGGGGACTGAAGGGTTGCGGGTTTGATTCCAGTCAATAGCATGTACCTTGGCTGCAGGTTCAATCCCTGGCCCCGGTTGGGGTGAGAGCAGGAGGCAATCAATTGATGTGTTACTTGCACACTGATGCTTTTCTCTCTCCCTTTTCCTCTCTTTCCCCCCTTCCCTATCCCTTCCACTCCTTCTAAAAATCAATGGAAAAATATCCTCACTTCTTAGGTGAGGATTAAAAACTATTCTTTATATTTTTGGTACAATTCCTGAAAATGTGCCTTTTTAAAAATATATTTTTATTGATTTCAGAGAGGAAGGGAGAGAGAGATAGAGACATTAATGATGAGAGAGAATCATTGATTGGCTGCCTCCTGCACACCCCCTACTAGGGATCAAACAAACTTGGGACCCTTCAGTCCGCAGGCCGATGCTCTAGCCACTGAGCCAAACTGGCTAGGGCAAAAATTTGATTTTTATATAAGAAAAATAGATTGTTGTTCTTATGAACATACAATCTGCTATTTTGTTTCAGTTATAATTTATTCCGTGGTAATAAGCTCTACTAAAATGGAGCTTATAGAGTTTAGAAAATAGTTATCAATGTTTATACTTAATCTTGTATCTAATTCAATTTATTTTGGACAATTTTTAAAATATAAATTTTATATGCAAATGAATGGAAAAACCTCAGATGTTCCTGCTGGGAATTGAACCTGGGACCCTTCAGTCCAAAGGCCAATGCTCTATCCACTAAGCCAAACCAGCTAGGGCTTATGTTACATCTTGATATAAATCTTTATTCTTTTTTATATTCATAGCAGCTACTCCTCTGGAAAATATGGCAGAGGTGGGCAATTTTTTTTCTGAGGGTGTAGTGTATGCCTCTAGTTCAACTAGATAAAAAGATTTCCAGCCTGGATGGATGAACATCAAAATCATGTGAGTAACCTTGATAAAAATGCACATTATGACATACTATCCCAGATAGTCTAAGTTATTGAGTCTGGAGTGAGGATCCAGGTATCTGTACTTTTAAAAAGTAACCATAAATACTGATGATCAGTGTAATTTGAGAACTTTAAGACCAAAGAGTCTTTAAGGGCAATAATAATCCTAGATTCTATATGTGGTACTGCCTCAGCCAGTGGAGTCAGTGAAGATTCATTTTTAAATTACTTATCACCAATCTACTGGTAGCATCATCATCTTGTACACATAGGTTTAGAGAGTATATTTTCAGGACTTTAAAAAACAAGCATAACCATTTACGCCCGCACCCTCCCCCCGCCGCCCTTATCCTAGCATAGAAACTGTCTGGTGTCAAGTAGGCAAACCACAGTTGCTACCTGAAAATAAAAGTTGCTGGAGATCTTCCTTGTATCCTACTTCTTTCTTGGAGAACACTGGTCTGCTAAGAGGAGGCCTGCTAGACAGACTCAGCTGAGATTTAAAGTCTTCGGACAATTTCAGAAGGTCTTAAGAAAGAAAAAAACTCATGTTATTCTGACGTGTTAGTCCATCTTTTCACCACTGCAAGAGGCCTTACAACAGTGGTTCTCAGCCTTGGCTGCACATTAGAATCACCTCGGAATCTCTTTAAAATCCTGATTTCTGGGCCTCATCATTAATAACAAAGAAACAATTTCTGGAGGATGAGGCCCAGAAATCAGGATTTTAAAAAGATTCCCAGGTGTTCTAATGTGCAGCCAAGGTTGAGAATCACTGCCTTACAAGTAGGTGTATTCTATGACTGTCTAGGTGGTGTGACTTGAGAAATAATGGCAAGATAATGCTCTATTCACCTGTGTAGACACATGTCTTCATTGCATATGGAGGTTGCCAAAATCCAACAATGAAGAGACATTATTTGGAAGTTTGAATGTGTTTCCCATTCAATATAATTCTTCACTCTCTATGTCTAGATAGTATTTCATTTGTATTTATGGTATGTAGCACAGTGTTTTAGTAAATATCTATGTACATGTAGCTTATTTCTGTGGTGCAATATTCTCACCACGGACAGTTTCAAGCTACCAACGTGACATCACTAAGTGCAGAGTTGATAAGAAACACACAATAGCACAGCCTTTTACAGTATTTCTACCATCCTATCTAATAAAGAGGGAATATGCTAATTGGCCATCAAAGCCTAACAAAGATGGCAGCATCCACAGCCAATGAGGGAATATGCTAATTGACTGTCACACCCTCAAAGATGGCAGCATCCACAGCCACAAGATGGTGGCGCCCAGTCCCCTCAGCCCCACCGGGGCGTCAGGTGCGTAGCACAGCCGGGTCCGCCTCAAGGCGGGTCTGGCCGCTCTGCATGCCTGCCTCTGAAGTCCCCCAGTCCCCTTAGCCTCCCAGCCACCCAGGGCCGACCCAAGGTGCAGGCAAGCCTTGGATGGCAGCTGCCCCGTCACCCAGGGCCGGCCAAGGCTTGCACTGCCAGCAGTGGCAGCAGCAGAGGTGTGATGGGGTGTCGCTTCTCCTGATTGCTGGGTCGGTTCCCACCCCTGAGAGCTCCTGGACTGTGAGAGGGGGCAGGCAGGGCTGAGGGACCCCCCCCTCCAGTGCATGAATTTTCATGCACCGGGCCTCTAGTACAGATACAATTGATGTAAATAACTTCACAAGCAAAGATACTATTAAAATGTAGTAAATAATTCAGAAGTGGTGAGTTTGCATTTGTTACATTTGTTTTTAATATAATTTAGTTATCAATTTATATAACTTAATTTTTAATAATGACTGTGTTTAACAACTGGCTCACAAAATTCTTGAAATATTAATAAATGACCCTAGAGCCAGTAAGAGCCACTACAAGGCAACAATTCCCCCAAATTTTCTTTTCATCTTCTGATGTAAAAACATTGCCTATTATAAGACACTTGATTTGGGCTTCTAATTACCTGGCAAAATTTTATCATGTATGGGAAGCAGGATACTGGGAGATTCGAATAACACAGAGTCTAGTGGATATGAGAAGTTCAAAGTCATAGGAAACAAAGGAAAGCCTGTTTAGTATGAGGGTGCTAGAGGAAGAAAAGGACAGGGAGGGAGGTATTTTCCCCTCCTACCTGGGTCTGTGTCCATCATCATGCGTAGCCATTCCTCAGTTGTCAGGCAGCAGACTTCCTTGTCTTTCACCATCCATGACCTGGGAGCTTCTGAGAACACTGCACCACAGAATGGCTCCACTCTGATCCCACAAACATATCCATACAACTGCCCCTCGGATAACACTTTCAAGAATTTGACTGTGAAAGTTAGCTGGCATTGGGATTGGCAAAAATGGAAATGAGGTAATTTGTTTATTGCATCTTCTATTTCCTTTTTCAAATCCTCACGCTTAATGTTTTCTTCAGCACATCCCAGAACTTTCCTACTCTCATCCTCCACTCCAATAAAAAGATAGCCTCCCCCAGTGTTTGCAAATGCAGATATGTACTTTGGAATTATGTCTTTTACACGGTCTGGGGTGCGTTTCGTAGAGAACTGTTTAAACTCTACATATTGAGACTCAGGAAAAGGCAGGATTTCACCACGCTGAAGCCGGTCTCTTTGGAAAATTAGGTGAGCAGGATTCGAGTCATGGAAGTTTTGCTTTGCAACCCTGAGAATTTTATTAGAAGGTTCTTTCCCCAAAAGTTTTGCATTTCCTTTCTTGGTTTCCAGGAAACGAAATGCCTCTCCTGAATTCATGGGAAGCACAGAGGTGCCAGATCTACGGTGTAAAGAAGAATCCAGGCTGCAAATGCGGGGCTTGAAACCATCTTCAGGGAACAAGTCAGTGTTCCAAGATTTAACAAAAATGTAAAAACACCTCCCTTGTTGATTATACTCAAAGAAAGCCTGCAAATCTGAAGATTGAATAAGTGTTCTCAAAGACTCTTCTAAATCCAGCCCCATCTCCACAGGTTGCTCATTGCCGTTAGCCATTTCCATCCGAATCACTCCTCCTCCTGAGTTTAACAAAGCACAGGCAGCCTGCGAAACTTTCTCCTTCTCCTGATCTCTCTGAGTTTTCTGCAGCTTCTTTCTGTTTTTTTCCCCAAGAGTTACTTCTCCTACATTGATGACCAAGTCTGGGTAAGATAATTCTACCACCAGAGATGGATTATGTTTCTTCATGTTCGTTCTGCAACAGAAAGCATTAAAACACATCTCATGTTGATGAAGTAAATTACATAGTACATAAAAATGCATTCATTAATTTATCTGAAAATATTTATTGAGTTCCTGCTAAGTGCTGGGGGCTGGAGATTAAGTGGTAGATCAAAAATGAGTCCTAGCCAGTTTGGCTCAGTGGATAGAGCATTGGCCTGTGGACTGAAGGGTCCCGGGTTAAATTCCAGTCAAGGGCACATGCCCAGGTTGCAGGCTAGACCCCCAGTGAGGGGGCATGCAGGAGGCAGCCTATCAATGATTTTTTTCTCATCATTGATGTTTCTATTTCTCTTTCCCTCTCCCTTCCTCTCTAAAATCAATAAAAATATACTTAAAAAAAAAAAGAATGAGCACAGTCCTGCCTCTCAGAGCTTATTGTTTGAAAGGAAACATGGTTGAATAAAGCAATCGCTGGAAGAATTTTGCAGTAAACCACGTGAGAGATGATGGAGCACTGGGCCATAGTACTGGCAGTGGGATGCAGAAAATTTGAGCATATATGAGAGATATTTAGGGAATAAAATTAACATTATCTGCACTAACCAGGTAGAAATCAGAAGGATTCAATTTTAGTAACTGGGTTTTTGGCATAGGCAACTAGGTGGTTAGTGATACCACTTATTGGCATAGTAAGAAGTGGTTTTTCTAAAAAATGTTTTTATTGATTTTAGAGAGACAAGAAGGGAGAGGGGGAGAGAGAAACATCAATGAGAGGGAGAAAAATCAATCAGATGCCTCCTGCTTCCTGCATGCTTCCCACTGAGGGGTCAAGGCTGCAACCTGGGCATGTTCCCTGACCAGGAATAGAACTGGTGACCTTTCAGTGCGTGGGACAATGATCAATCAACTGAGCCATGGCATAAGAAGTCTTTTTAATTGACATCTTCTATTAAATTTGGGTGGTGGACATATTTGTGCTCATTATTTTGTTCTCTGTATTTTTTGTAAGTTTTAAATTATTCATAACACAGAAAAATCTTTACCTCCAAAAATTTAAAAGGAGAGTAAGGGGGGTGGACTGGAGGGGATCAATACATAGGGGGCGGGGGCGAAGGGACATATGTAAGACTTTCAACAATAAGGAATTATTTTAAAAATAAATAAAAGGAGAGTAGGGGATATAAATTGTGGGAAACCGCCTATTGTCTTCTCTAGCAGAGAGGTGTGAACAAGGAGCCTGGAATGCTGGTGACCCTTGAAGCCCTGGCAAAGGTCAGGGATATACCCACTGTTTAGTCAAGACAATGGTAGCTGAAGCAACTTCACCACTGGATAGTCATGTAAATCCTTACTGGTAAGCTTGTCTGTTACTGGAACTTGCCTAAGGGCTATGGGTGTATCCCAAACTAAATAAAAATGATGGCAAGGCTTGAGCACAAGCGGAGTCCATCCTCTTGGGATGGACTCTCGCCTGGCCCCCCAATTTCCAAATTATTTCTTGTCTCGTCTCTTTCATTTGTGTGCGGCTCCTCTTCCAGATCCTGAACCCTGAACCATACAGAACGTGGGGAAACATAACAATAAATTTAGATCATTAGCAAGAAAGTGGTTAAACTTTTGGACTGTACACATTCTTAGGACAGAGTGGGAAATGAAGATGGTCAGGGCAGGTGAAGTATGGTACCTATTTGCTTTGTTTAACAATAGACAGGTTATTTTGATTTTCTGAATTATATAAATCATCCCATTCGATTAAATGCCTTATTGATTGTAATGTGAATATCCCATGGGTTGTGGTTATACTAGTCTTACAAAGCACATTTTCCTTTACCTGGGAAGGACAGCACAGTTATCCCAAGGTCAGAGGGCTCTAGACCCAAAACTGTAATTTAGATAACATGCCTAAGTTTAACCCAGGTTACCCAAGGGCTCTAGGTAATGTGTTTCTGTAAACTGTTTTTTTGCAAACTAGGTTCCTCATTCCAGACCCGAGGGCTCTAGATAATGTGTTTCTGTCAACTCAGTGGTCCCAAGACCCAAAAACTATAATTAATCTTTGTAGATAACTAATCAGCTCAATTTCACTTCTGTAACTGCTTTGTGCAAACCAGGGTCCTCATTCCAAACCCTGGGATGTAATCAATACCTTTGTGATTTTTGCCTATATAAGTCTGGTTTTTCTACCATATGACTACTATGAGATTTGGGGAATGGCCCCTCAGTCCCGGATTGCAATAAATGTGACTCTTTAATTCAACTTCTTGAGGTGTCCTTCTGTGATTCGCGGGGTACATTACAACACAGGGGGTGGACCTGATAAATGGGAAAAAGAAGGATCAATGGATTCTAAGTCGTTATGATATCAAATAACTTGCATTTGGGAGTGGTTGAGCAAATTAATAAAACTCAACAGTACCATGGTGAGGAGGGGGCGCTTGAGATGCTTAGGATTGTATTGCCACCTGCACAGTCATTTTTCTCTTTTCCATGATTATAGACTGAAAAAATGTGATCAAAGGATTTCATTCTTTTACTTATGAATACAGGGAATGTTCAATGAGTGTTCATTGTAGGCACACTAAGTGCTGTGAGAGATACAAAGAATCTGCCTGTTGGAGATTCATGGTTTAGGTCTCCACATCAAATAGCTTATACAGTATGTGGAGAAAAAATCGTAGCACTAAATGCCTATATTTGTAAGAGAGAAAAATAAAAATAGTGATTTCCTTAAAAATTTAAAGAACTTAAAAAAAACAAAAACAACTACTAATGTCAGTGGCCTGCACACAAGTCTTGCCTACCTGCTCTCCGAGTGAGCCATGCTTTGGTCCACTTTCTTCCCAGGCACACACCTCCAGATGTTCTGGAAGACAACACAGGGACAGGTGAGAGGAGGGACCCCTTTGTGTCTGGAGGTTCCCAGTAGGGAATCTGCTCTTGCTTCCTGGCTTTTCAGATGAAAATTAAATAGTCCACACACTTTAAAGACTCAAGATTGGAATTTCTTACTGGGGGAAGCTCTTGTTTCCTTAAAACCCTCCTCCAACCCTAGCTGGTTCAGCTCAATGGATAGAGCCATCAGCCTGCAGACTGAAGGGTCCTGGGTTCGAAACTGGTCAAGGACACATACCCCAGTTACAGGCTCGATCCCCAGTATGGGGCGTACAGGAGGCAGCCAATCAGTGTTTCTCTCTCTCTCTCCCTTCCTCTTGGAAATAAATAAAAATTATAAAAACAACACTAAAAGCCCTTCTCCACCTTCTCTTTTTGTGCCTCCTACAGCTGACAACTAGAACTTGTGTGGGATGGTTCAGGCTTCAGCATGGGCTGTCTGGGTTATTCGAATTTCCTTTACTCTCCTCCCTGTTATAATATTAATCCATACACGGAGGTCTTTCTGGCACCACAAGCACCATCCTCACAGAGTTCTCTAACTAGAGACCTGTGCATCTCCCACATATGTGAAAGGCTTGGTCTTAGAGGAACCTCTGCTCCCTCCTACTGAATGGCCCCAGCTGACTAGACCAAGGGAGAAGTCAGCCTCAAGCCAGCAAAACTCTGACTTGGCTGATATGATAAAGAAAATAGATGAGCTGGGTCAACCAGTGCGTTCTGCCAGAGAATTTAATTTAGGGACCACAGCCCTGGCCCTGTGGCTCAGTTGGTTGGAGTGTCATCCTGTACACCAAGAGGTTTCGGGTATGAGTCCCAGTCCAAACCCATAGGGTGTACAGCACCAAGAATGAACCATAATGTAAATGGACTTTGGCTGATGATAATGTATAACACCAAGAATAAACCATAATGTAAATGGTAGACTTTGGATGAAGTGGTCCATAGGCAAAGGAAAAAAAAAAATTTCAACTTAAACTTCATTCCTGACACCTTACCAAAAAATAACTCACAATGAATCATAGAGTTAAATATGTACAATGATAAAAAAAATTTTATGAGATAACACAGGAGAAATGCTTGATGACATAGGGCAGGGGTGGGCAACTCCTGGCACGCGTGCCAAACATGGCACGCCAGTAACTTTTACTGGCACGCGAAACCCTCTCTTATAATCTTCCATTTACAATTTTTGTGAACATTTGAATGACTTAAATGTTAAATTACAAGGAACTGGAAAGACACTTGATGTTATGTTTGGTTACATAAAGGCTTTTGAAAAGAAACTGGAAGTCTTTAAGAGGGATGTGGATGGTGAGATATTTAGATATTTCCCAAACCACAAGAGGCACATCAAAGACCTCCAAAAGATGACAGAACAGACTGTCAAAGCCTTCAAAAGCTGTTTTTAAACATCATCGAGTCAACTATTGGGCAGTTCTTCTCAAGATTTGCGAAATTCAGAGAACTGGAAGAGACAGCAAAATTGATGAGGTTTCCAGACAGCATGAAACTGAAGAACTAAACCTAACAAATGTTTTCATGGATAGATATGGCTGACTTTGAAATGCAATTGATTGAATTTCAGAGTAGCTCAATTTGGAAGCAGAAATTTATTGACCTTAGAGTTGACTTGGAAAACATTGAAAAAAAGCGATTAGAGACAGGAGTACCAGAGAGAAGTGCCGAAAAGGAACTATTGAGGACTTGGAATGCCATTCCAGAAAATTTTTTCTGTTTAAAAAACTTTGCAACATTGTTACTCTCCATGTTTTCATCCACATACGCTTGTGAATCTTTGTTCTCAGTGATGAATTTTGTTAAGTCTCGTAATAGGAGTAGCCTGACGGATGAAAGTAGTAGCTCGTGCATATCTCTGAAGGTCACGAAATATAAACCTGATGTAAAATCTCTGTCATCAGTGATGCAGCAGCAGAAGTCCCACTGATAATATCAAACAGAGTTTGATATTAAAGTTTTCTGTCGGACTATCAGTGTACATGTATACATTAAAAAATAAATGTATTTTTCATCATCATATACTGTGTTTTTGTTGCTCGAATGAATTTTATTATTTCTTCAAGGTTCTTCACATACGTACACCTTAAGAGATATCAAGTAGGCATAACCTGTTCTCAAAAATTAGGGTTGGCACGCAGAAGAATTTTGAGTCAGAGATTTTGCTGGTTTTGGCACGCACTCACAAAAAGGTTGCCCACCCCTGACTTAGGGCCTAGTAAAGAATTCTTTGATAGCCCTAACTGGTTTAGCTCAGTGGATGGAGCATTGACCTGTGGACTGAAAGGCCCCAGGTTCGATTCTGGTCAAGGGCATGTACCTTGGTTGCAGGTACATCCCCAGTAGAAGATGTGCAGGAGGCGGCTGATTGATGTTTCTCTCTCATCGATGTTTCTAACTCTCTATCCCTCTCCCTTCCTCTCTGTAAAACATCAATAAAATATATATATATGTGTATATATATTTACACACATATATATATATATTTTAAAGAATTCCTTGATAACACTAGAAACTCAATCTGTAAAATAAAAAAAATCAATAATATGAACTTCTTAAAAAATTTAAAACTTTCCTCTGTAAAAGATCCCATTAAATGAAAAGACAGACTATATAGATGGAAAATATATTTACAAATCACGTATCTGACAAATGAACCAAATCTAGAATATATAAAGAACTCTAAAATTTAACAGTCAAAAAACAATTTTTCAGTTAAGGGAAACTTCCTCAACTTGATAAAGAATATTTATAGGAGCCCTAGCTGGTTTGGCTCAATGGACAGAGCATCGGCCAGAGGACTGAAGGGTGCCAGGTTCGATACCAGTCAAGGGCACATGCCCAGGTTGCGGGCTTGATTCCCAGTAGGAGGCATGTAGGAGGCAGCCAATCAATGATTCTCTCTCTCCCGGGCTGCCAGAGGGATGTCTGACTGCCAGCTTAGGCCCAATCCCCCCAGGGAGCGGGCCTAAACCAGCAGGTGGACATCCCCCGAGGGGTCCCAGACTGCGAGAGGGCACAGGCCGGGCTGAGGGACTCCCCCGAGTGCACAAAGTTTTGTGCAACGGGCCTCTAGTAGAACAATAAAACCATCACTTTTTGAATTGGTTTGTCTTCTAGACAGAAATTAGTTACATCTTTAAAAGCCTAAAAATTCTTTTCATCTTCTTACTTTGCTGATCATTATATGTAACTTCCCAGGGCTGTAAAATGTCAAAATATATGGAACTTATTTAATTGCAAATAGGATGTCAGAGTTATGTGTTTCATAGAAAAGGAAATGATCATTCTTTAGGTCTTTAATGCCCAATTATACTGAAAGGATTTGCTGTTAATGTTTTACTCCAGGCCTGTGCTCGACTGCAGAGGATGCAGGCAGCCCTGCCCTATACTCTCTGGGCCTGTGATCAGCTGTGGAGGCCGCGGGCTGGCCCCTCTGTCCTTGTCCGTGTCTGCTCCAGCTCTGAAGGGACTGCCCAAGCCGCAGTGCAGCGGCTGGGGCCGGCCCCCATGTCCCTGTCCATGTCCGCTCCGGCTCCAGGGGGTCGGCCCAAGCCGGGGCGCAGCAGCTCAGGCTGGCCCCATCTATCTCCGTCTCCGCTCTGAGCCTCACTTGCGCGCACAACCTCCTCCTGTCCAGTCGTGGCCCGTTATGGTGTCCTGGCCTAATTTGCATATTACCTCTTTATAGAGATAGATAGTACTATAAGTCCTAGTTAATGCATAAGACAAGAAAGAAAATAAAAGGTATATAGATTGGAAAGGGAAAAGTACAACTGTCTTTGTTCACACATGACATGACTACCTATGTAGAAAATCCCAAAGAATCAATGAAAAAAAACAACAAACCACCTCTTGGAAGTAATTAGTGATTATAGCAATGTTGCAGGATACAAGATTAATTCACAAAAGTCAGTTGCTTTTTTATATATTAACAATGAACAACTAAAATTTAAATTGAAAACATATCATTTACATTCGCACCAAAACATAAAATGAAATATTTAGGTATAAATTTAGCAAAACATGTACAAGTTCTATATGTGGAAAACAACAAACTCTGTTGAAAGAAATCAAAGGAGATATAAATAGAGAAATGTTCCATGTGCATGGAAGAGAAGCTTCAATATTGTCGAAAGATCATTTCTTCTCAACTCAATCTATAGATTTAATGCAATCTCAATAAAAATCCCAGCAATTATCTTATGAATATCAACAAACTGATTCAAATGTTTACATGAAAAAGCAAAAGACACAGAATGGCTAACACAATATTGAAAGAGAAGAACCAGTCAGAAGACTGATAATACCAACTTTAAGACTAACTATAGTAATCATTTATTATAATACTCAAGACAGTGTGCTGTTGATGAAAAACAGACCCACACAGATCAGTCAACTGATCTTTGACAAAGGGGCAAAGGCAAGTCAACAAATAAGGGTGCTGAAAAAACTGGATGTCCACATGCAGAAATATGAATCTAGAAACAGACATATACCTTTCATAAAAATTAACTAAAAATTGATAATAAACCCAAATGTAAAATACAAAATTATAAAAGTTGTAGAAAATAACAGCAGATTATCTCGGTGACCTTCGGTTTGCTAATGACATTTTAGATACAACACCAAAAGCATGACCCATGAAAAAAATTGATATGTTGGACTTCATTAAAATCAATAACTTCTGCAAAAGACTGTTAAGAGAATGAAGAGAAAATTTTTATAAAGTACATATCTGATAAAGTATTGGTATCTAAAATATACAAAGAACTCTTAAAAGTCAACAATAAAACAACCCAATTTTTAAAATGGGCAAATCATCTGGACAGACATCTTACAAAAAAGATATAGAGATGGCAAATAAGTATATGAAAAGATTCACCACAGCATATATCATCAGGAATTTGCTAATTAACACAACAATGAGATACCACAACATACCTATTAAAATGGCTAAAATAAATACAAAACCCAACAACATGAAAAATGGTACAGCCACTTTAAAAGACAATTTAGAGTTTCTTACAAAATTAAACATATTATTACCATATGATCCCATAATTGTGCCCCTTAGTTTTTACCCAAATTAGTTGTTTATGTTCACACAAAAACCTGCACAAGAATGTTTCTAGTAGCTTTACTCCTAATTGCCATAACTTGGAAGCAACCAAGATGTTGTTTAACAGATGAACAGATAAATAATGTGTACAAGGAGAACAAGCACAGTCATTTTAGTACTGTTTGTAACACCAACTTTTGGAAATAGCCTAACTCTCCATCTATAAAGGAGTGAGGAAATAACATGTGGTAATATGTATTAAATAGGATATTATAAACCATTGTGAGGGAATAAACTAACAGACACACAAGTGGCAGCTATCAGAAACAAAATGTAGAATTAAAAATTCAAGATGCAGAAGTATACATACAGATTTTATCTTTTATAAATATGCCAAGTATGCACATACCCCCAAGGTACATATTGTTCCTGGATATGTGTATGTAAAACTGGGTGTAAGCTAAAAAGATTGTAAAGCTATACAATAAACAGGATATTGGTTGTCTCTGAGAAAAGAAAAGAAAAATGGAACTGGAGATGAAAAGAAAGGAGAACTTCAAATTTATTTACAATATTTTATTTACCGAATTTGAAAAAGACTTGAAGTAACTGACAAAATGTTAATAGTTGGCAGTTTGAGGTAATGGGGTAACAAAAATTAAGGGAACAAAAGAAGTGTTTGTTATATTATCTTTGTACTTAAGTTTCTTATAATTGCTGTTATTAAACACACAGACAACACACCGCACCAACTCAAATTGGATTTATCACAGAATAAATAGTTTTACATACAAGAAAAACCATGAACTAATATAAAATATGACATGAGCAATTAATAGTCAAAATTATCTCAATGCATTAAAAATGTGTTTGATACGATTTACAAATTATTCTAGAGAAGCATTATTTAAAAAGAGTAACAGGAATGGGAGACAGGAATGGGAGACATCTGTAATAGTGTTTAAAAAAATAGTAACATGAACATGTTTTAACTTAAGAAAGCCTTGCTGCAACATCAGTACACACGTACACACGTACACACACACACACTCTTCCTCCCGCCCTCCTCCTTCCCGCCTCCCACCCCCTCCCTTGCGCGCTCCTCACCTGCGCCTGCGCCCTGCGCCTCCCGCCCGCTTCCGCCTCCCACCCCCTCCCTTGCGCGCTCCTCACCTGCGCCTGCGCCCTGCGCCTCCCGCCCGCTTCCGCTTCCACCCCCTCCCTTGCGCGCTCCTCACCTGCGCCTGCGCCCTGCGCCTCCTGCGCCCAGTGCTGCAGCTTCGCTGTGGCTCCCCCAGCGCCAACCGAGTAGCTTCCCCCGGTGTCCAACCTCAGCGACGCTCCCGCGAGCCCTGGCCAGCAAGGCTCCTGCAGGGCAGCGTGGGGATCACAGCTTGGGGTCCGGGGGCCAGAGCTGGTGTGTGTCTGAGAGTGGGAGCTACTTTGGAAATGCGGCCTAAGGAGTGCTTTGGCGTGTGGGGAGCCTCTGCCCGCTGCCCCACCCGGAAAGTAGGTTAGGCTCCCCCGGGGCTCAGAAGATTACGACCCTCAAAGAAACAACAGACGCATCCTACATCCTGGCTCCATCCACCCCAAGCATATGCTGTGTATTTCACACAGACGAAGAGAAGTTATGGCCTGCTCAGAATTAAAACCAGGATTAAATGAGCTCCTCGGATTTATTTCCCCCACCTCAATGCCTAATTATTGTCTCCAGTAGTTTGTTCACACACTTACGGAAATAATTTATTTAATTTGGGTCTAAATAATCATCTTACATTTATGGCTGAAGTCATGAAAACATTTGTTACAATAGTGGCTGTGCCAATTGATGTGTAGAGAATATATGTAGGTGGTGCTGTGTCTAGTAAAATAAACATCTGTTGTTACAGATTATTGTTTTCCTATTCTAGAATACCAACTATTTCTCAACCAGCCCCCTGAAGTATTCATAGTTATACATTCATGCGTGCCCCATCACCAAAAAGATTTGAAGAAGCAACTTGTTTAAAAGCACTTTCCAGTGCTTTTGATGAATGTTGGTGAACAAAATAACCACACGTACTTTTGACACTTGCAAAAATAACCTGGAAAATCCAGATGGATCAAAGCTTCCCAATCAATATAGCTTAAGTTTCTCCTGAAAATTAAAATGTATATACTATGAAAAAAAACACAACAAACCTGACAAATAATTTGAACAGTCATGCCCTCCCGCCAAAACTCTAGCTCCTCCCTTTCCCATTTGAAAGTTTTTTCCCCCCAGATCTTTGATTGGCTTACCCTATATAACCCCCTACACCACAGTCTGTCTCAGAACTCTGCCAGGTTTTCTGGACTGGAATCCTGCATTGCTGGCCTGAGCAAGAAGGTGAGTCCCATCTACAGACCAGTTCTCATGATCTATTTCATTCATTTATGAAATATGTGGCTGTTTGTGTCCACCGCAGCTTCTCTTGCTTAAATAAACAGGCAAGATATATCGGGAAGGGTCACAGGGTGGATTTTCATCTTAGAGGGTTTTTTTGTTGTTGTTAATCCTCACCTGAGGATATTTCTTCCATTGATTTTTAGAGAGAGAGTATAAGGGAGGGAGGGAAGGAGGGAGAGAAACATTGATGTGAGAGAGACACCTCCACTGGTTGCCCCAAACGGGGCCTGGGGATCAAACTGGCAACCCAGGTACGTGCCCTTGACCAGGAGTCAAACCCTAGCCCTTTAGTGTGGGGGTGGAGTGAGTGATTCTCTAGTTATTGAGCACACTGGCCAGGGCAGAGTTGTGTTTTTTTAAATCTCTTTTTGAGACCATCCTTTCTGTTGAACTGGCAAGGCGTGGTGGGTCTTTCCAGACAGTCTGTACTGACCTTGGGAATTCGAAGATTCCTCCGGGTTGGGATGTTAGAGACAAAACTCCTGGAGTCCTGATCTGTTCCGGTCAGGACTGAGGGCTACGGTAACCCTCAGAAGGAAGAGCTGGCTCTGAAATCTGAGCCCCCGTGGAGAAAAGTGACTTATGTAGGCTGTGGAGGGAAGTTACAAATCAATGTGGTCAACAGAGGAAGCTTAGAACAATAGCAACAGCATTAGCCGCCAAATCAACAATAGGAAATCTAGCAGAAAGCTCTTGTTTGGTTTCTTTCATGTGCCCATCCGTACAGATTTCAAGAATTATTACAGGATGGCTTTAGTAATCATTTTTAACTATGAGGAAAGGTGTTGTGTCCTAGAGGGAATTTAGTTTGAGATGTCGTGAGCCAGTGCTTTATGCCGGTCTCATCCTGTCAATAACAATGTGGTTCTTATTATTATTACAAGACGCCCTTCAGCAGTAATCATCAGGTAACTGAAAAACATAAAGGTTTTTTACTTACAGGACCTGGAAGTCACACAGAACACTTCGGGTTACACAGCGAGGTGGCCGGTAGAGAAAGAGAGAGAAGGCACTGGCCTGGGGTTCTGCTTCTATTTGAAGTTGAAGATGGCGCTTAAAGTTTCGCGGGCTCACTCCTCATTGGTGGATTTGAAAACATTAGAATGGGAAGTTAAAGCAGGAGAAAATTTAAAGAAACAGCAGCCCAAATGATCAGTTATGAAATCAACCAAGATCTCTAAAACAAAGGAATCTTAGGACGAGGTGGCCTGGCTCTTTACCTTGTCGCGTGGCTAGGTAATGTGTTTATTCAAGACTGTCATCTTTGAAGTAGATCCTCTTTGAAATGGATGCCTGGCAATCAAAACTTAAGTGAGTCCCTTGCATTGCAAAAAGAAAAAGTACATTACAACCAAGCTCCCAATCTTTCAGCACACTTTTAAAAAAATGCAGATTCTAGGGCTCCTTCCTACCTAGACATACAGAATCTAACAGTGGATCTATTTTAAGGTCCCAGGTAATTCTATCGTCAGCCAGGAACTACTGTACTCCCATTTACTACCTCCTATTATTACAATCTCCAGGCTCACTGTTCACAGAAATTGTCACAGAAATTACTAGTATCACAGACTGCCACACAAATCCAGTTTGTACCAAATCTGTTTCCAATATGGCCAGCATTATCACTTCATGATGTTGCCTACGTGTGTCAAACAGAGTAATTATCTGAGTGCAGAAAAGTGTTACAATCTACAAATTACCCCCTGAAGACACAGCATTTTTTTTTTTTAAATCAAACCTGAGCTGGTGTGGCTCACTTGGTTGGGGCATTCCCAGGCTGTGGGTTTGATTGTTATGGACCAACATTTGTGAGAATAAGACCACCGACTCCAATCAGGTCTTAGCAGCAAGCGAGGATTTATTGAAAGCTGGCCAGCGTCTGCAACAGGTGCCCCCGTAGGAAGCCCCACTCTGCTGCAGCCCCGAGCCTTTCTCTCGGAGCCTATTTAAGGGTGTTAACCAGCAATGGAAACCAGTGTGGTGTCACACCTGGCTGGAGCATTTAACCACAACCTATTCCTTTACAAGCTCAATGGAAATCAGTGTCACACCTGGCTGGAGCGTGTCCGGGCCTCCAAGAAGTACAGATTAACATCAGGATACATAGAGTACAAAGAAGTTACAAAATATTCTTTACGTCAGTTAAAGGTTACATATCTATACCCATTTCACTATATGACGCTAAGCGTGCATGCCCATCACATGATCCCTGGTTAAGGTACATGTGGGAGACAACCAATCGCTGTTTCTCTCTCTCCCTCTCCCTTCCTTTCTCTCTAAAAATCAATTTTATAAAAAACATAAAAAATCATGCTTGAAAAGTGTCCAGTGAGAAAAACTCAGCGGGGTCCAGAGGATGTGTTAACCATGTTTACAGAGGATTTAGTGTTGTGCTAAATCGTATACGCTGATTATCTCTAGGAAGAAACTATGCTTCAGAAAGGTTAAGGAACAATGCTGATAAAGTAACATCTCCCAATCACTGAGTCTTTGACCGTCTACTAATAAAAGGGTAATATGCAAATGGTCCTAATGCCCTCATGCCTAACGACTGGGCTGCGTGTGCATGAGGCCAGGGGATGTGAGGCTGCGTCAAATAAAATAAAATGCGTTCACATGCCTTAGAGCACAAACACCCCAGCAGATAACTCAGTGCAAGTTATTGTGTAATCACAATGATTATACAATAAATCACAATGATTACACAATATTGATTACACAATAAACTTATTTTCACCGAAAAAAATAACCTCTGGTGTCTTTTCATTTAAAGATGCTCCAGTAAGGCTACTGAAGTTTTCATCTGTCCCTTTCTACACTGAAGAAGACAGGGTTCAAAGAGGAAAGGCTCCCGTTTCGTTTTCTCGGTACCCAGCTAGGAGGCCTCTGTGTGCACGATGGGCGCTCAGGCCGGAAGCCCGGAGGGGAGGCGGAGCAAAGTGCTTTCCCTGGGGACCCCACTCTTTCTGGGAGTCCGGCATGGAGGGTGCTCTCCCTGGGGCCCCGTAAATCCGCCTCCGGGGGCAACTGTGCAGCAGCCGGGCTGAGTGAAGCGCGGAAAGGGTGACCTATCCATGCGGATGTGTATGCTGGTGGAGGCCACGCAGCTGTCATAGTTGAAGTCGTCCTGGATGGAGGAGCGGGGGTGGCGGGGATCGGAGTCGGCCCTGTCAGCAATGGAACTGCAGCTCTGTGCCCAATGATGTACAGCACACGGACCTCAATGATCCTCAGTCACTTCCTGAGCAGCAGTCAGCCCCGACCGGGGATCAAACCCTAAACCTAAGTAGGTGACCTCACAGAATGGATCCCAAACACAGCAGGGGCCAGGGCATGCCACAGGGGTTTTGTTGAGGGGCCCTGACAGGCAGTGTGCAGCGCAGTGGGTTAGGACTTCCTCCTGATACAGCAAGGTTGCAGGTTGGATCCCTGGTCAGTGTACAGACAAGAAGCAACCAAAGAGTGCATAATAAGTGGAACAACACACTGGTGTTTCTCTCGCTCCCTTCCTCTCTCTAAAATAATCAATAAAAATTAAAATAAAAAATAAACCCTCTGGCTTACAGAGTTGCTAAAACAGTTAGAAAGCAAAGTCCCATCCCTTCCTGTTCATTCAACAAATACTTCATATACTCCTTCAATAATCACACTGGGGATGGATGTTTATTTGTTTGTTTTGGTTAATCCTCACCTGAGGACATTTTTCCATTGATTATTATTATTTTATTTTTTTTTACAGAGAGTGGAAGGGAGGACAGAAGATGGAAATTAATGTGAGAGACATCAATTGGTTGCCTCTCGCTGAATTTCTGACCAGGGCCCCGGATTGAGTCTGCAACCCAGGTATGTGCCTTTGATCTGAATCCAACCCGGTACCCTTCAGTCCACCTGCAGAAACACTATCCACTGAACCAAACCAGCATTTATTTTCTTTTTAAGTCCTCCTCTAAGGATATGTTTTTTTCATTGATTCTAGAGAGAGAGGAAGGGAGAGGGAAAGAGAAAGAGAAACATTAATCTGACAGGGATGGAACCCACAACCCGTGTATGTGCCCTCACCTGGAATCAAACCCATGACTCTTTGGTGCGTGAGAGGACACTCTAACTACTGATCTACACTGACTAGGGCCTGGAGGTACAATTAAAAAAAATTTTTCAGATCTGCCCTGGCCAGGTGGCTCAATTGGTTGGAGTCTCAACCTGTACACCAAAGGATTTCCTGTTGGATTCTAGGTTAGGGCACATACTTAGGTTTAGGTTAGATCCCGGTGGGTCAGCAGGTGCAGAGGCAGCCTATCGGTATTTCTCTGTAACATAGATGTCTTTCTCTCTAAAAATCAATTTTTTTAAAAATATGTTTTATTGATTTTTTACAGAGAGGAAGGGAGAGAGATAGATAGTTAGAAACATCGATGAGAGAGAAACATCGACCAGCTGCCTCCTGCACACCTCCCACTTGGGGATATGCCGGCAACCCAGGTGCATGCCCTTGACCGGAATCGAACCTGGGACCCTTCAGTCCGCAGGCCGACGCTCTATCCACTGAGCCAAACTGGTTTCGGCTAAAAATCAATTTTAAAAACACTCCCAGGTGAGAATTAAAAATATATATATTAAAAAATTTTCAGATCTAAAATTTTATTTGGTTCTTTTTTATTTTTTTTATTTTTTTATTTTTTTTGGTGTCAGAAGTGGGATTCGAACTATTTGGTTCTTTTTTAAATTTCATTTTTTCATTTACAGTTCACATTCAATATCCTATCCTATATGATAAAACCCTAATATGCAAATCAACCAAACAGTGGACTGACTGGTTGCTATGAACTGACCACCAGGGAGCAGATGCTCAATGCAGGAGCTGGCCCCTGGTGGTCAGTGCACTCCCACAGGGGGAGCGCCGCTCAGCCAGAAGCCGGATTCACGGCTGGTGAGTACAATGGCAGCAGAGGCAGCCTCCATGGCAGTACTAAGGAGCAGTGATATGAGTGGTAGGGAGCAGCAAGCAGGCGGGCGGTAAGGAGTGAGGGGTCCTGGACTGTGAGAGGGATGTCCACCTGCCGGCTTAGGCCCGCTCCCCACAGGCCAAAGCCGGCAGGTGGACATACCCTGAGGGGTCCCAGACTGCAAGAGGGCACAGGCCTGGCTGAAGGACCCCCCACCCCACACCTCCAGTGCACACATTTCATGCACTGGGCCTCTAGTATACTATATCTGCCAGGCACTGAGAATTTAGTTTAATAACTACTGGTTGTAGACACTTTGGTTTGTGCCAATCACATGAAAGAAAGCACTTAATCTTCACAACAATCATCTGAGGTATGTTATTTCCATTTTACAAAAGGAAGATCAGCCCTAGCTGGTTTGGCTCAGTGGATAGAGCTCTGGCTTATGAACTGAAGGGTCCCAGGTTCGATCCTGGTCAAGGGCACATGCCCGAGTTCCAGGCTCGATCCCCAGTGGGGGGGGCGTGCAGGAGGCAGCCAATCAATGATACTCTCATCATTGATGTTTCTCTCT